TGGAGAAATAGAAATAGTATTTACTGGCGGTAGTGATAATGAAAAGGGTGACAATGGTGAAATTGAACTAAAGCCATATCAACTTTTTCAATTAGCACAAGAAGAAGTAACAGCAACAACTTCTAAAACAAATGGGGGTGGTGGTGGCGGCGATAACGGTGAATATAATGAGATTGCCAAGAAACTTTTTGAAATGGCACTTGAAGGTTTTGACAAATTATTGTTGGAAAGTAAATTACAAGAAAAAAAGAAAAATGATGGCGGTGAATTGGTTGTGACGACGATGATGGATGAAATAGATCAAATTAAATATCAATACGCGTTGTGTTGTATTACCAATTGATAAAGAGATACAAAAGGGTGTAGATATGCTTAAAGAATTGGTTGAAGGAAAAGAAGGTGAAAGGAACGAAGATGAAAAGAATTCGGAGTTTTTTGAGAGTTGGCTTGCGCTTGGAAAAGGTCAAATATATTTGGTTTGTTGTACTCAACATATATCTATATATACATAATTTAAAACAAAATCAAGTAGTAACAATAAATAAAATTATTTAATTAATGGTTTCAGTCTAAATTACAAAGTTCTAAATTCGATGATGATAACGAACAAGAAAATTACACAATTTCTGAATCAGAGTTGAATTTATATTCTCAAGGAATAAAAGCTTTTGATCATGTAAGAATAATTTTAGAAATAAATATATCAAATTTATAAAAAATATAATATTTACATGTGTATTTTTTGAATATTAAGGGCCTTAAAATTATTAAGTCCAAAGATCCTAAAAAATTCATAGATTCATCTATCCAAATTGCAAAAATTTTATTGGAATATGGAACAACAATAAATCATGAAAGATTTAATGGTATTATTATTATTACTGCTATTATTGTTCTTTGATTTTTTTTTTTCCCAAGATCTATCTAAAAAATTTTTTTTCTCTTAAAAAAAATATAGGTCACGCAAAAATTGTTTTTACCAAATCTATATCATATCTTCAAAATGCTTTTGATTTAGATTCAGAGCTTTTTGAAAAAGATGATTCTTCTCAAGAAATTTGGGGAAGTTGTTTATATAATTTGGTAAAATTAAAAAAAAATAGCGATGATTCAGACATTATTGAAAGTAGTAATGATGATAACAATTGTTATTATTTGGTATATATAGTATTTGATTGATTGATTAATTGATAAATCAATGAATATAAATAATGGTTATTTGATTAATAATTATAATAATCATCCTTGTTGTAGGAACAATTAGATAAAGCAATCAAAAAGCTATCTAGTTCAAAAGTTCCTTATGTTGAAATGGTATGTCATATCATTTTAATTTTAATTTTTTATAAATAAAAAAATTGAATGAATAAATTTAATTTAAATCAATTTTAAAACATAAAATATAGCTTGGACAAGCATACCTATTAAAATCAACGTTGGAACATGACGATATAGAATGTAATCATGCATTTGAAAAGGGCATAGAATATTTGTTTGAAGCCTATGAACTTGATCCAGGTAATAAATTATCATATTGTACATCTTTTTCATATATTTTATAAGAATAAAATATTAATATATATATTTATAGGAAATGAAAATTTGAAAGAACAATTAATGGCTTTAGAAGAGGCCATAGAGGTGAAAGATGAAGATGATGACGATGACGATGAAGATGAAGATGAATATGAATATGAAGGTGAAGGCGAAGATGCCGGTGATGATAATGAAGAAGATGGTGATTGTCACATATAATAAAAATCCTATTACTCATCTTCTTTTTTGAAAAAAATAATAAAATTTATTTATACCGAATATATATAAAAATCCGCTAAATCCGTTAAATCAAGATAAAATAACTATAAAAAAATTTTGTTCCGAAATTTTATCCGTTAAACCCTTAAATCCGCTAAATCAAAATCCGCTGAATTGAGTTTCACTGTGTATGTCAAAACTAAAATCAAAAGTCAATAGTCAAAAATCAAAACTAGTATCGACTTTCGCATGGTTGCGAAACTCTCTAGTTTTAGAAACCAACACTATAAGGAAGCAAGCAAAAATTGTTTTAGAAGAAAATTCAAAGTTCTGGATAAAACGTAAAAAGAATTGTATGGCTAAAAGATTAATCCTCCTATTGACAGGTGTGTTATGATATTATGTAGTAATTCATAATGGTTATCATTATTATTATATACGAGTAAAAAAAACGAAAAATTGTATGTAATTATTTTTATTTTCATCGTTACTTTTATTAATATTGACAAGATAACATCCGCAAAAAAGCTGTACATTTGCAAATAATAAAATAAGCAAATACACTGTTAAAGGAAAATAAATAAATAAATAGTTGGTGAATGGACGTGTGAATTAATTAATGAATCAATGAATCTTTAAAAACATTGAAATTGCTTTATATTGAAGAATTTATATAAAAATTGAGATAGATGCTTCCTTTAACTGGTCAATTAATCATTCAATTAAGTATTGAGTTATTATTACAATAATTTGTGTTGTTATAAAAGAAAAGTCTTTATTTCTTTCCTTATCCCAATATATATAATCCTGGATTGAGTAACTTTACCAAATCTATAACTGATAAATGGGGGAAAGTGCCATTGCTGTGAATCATATTTATACAGTGTAGCATTGGAGAAAACTTTGTTTTTACTGAAAAATTGAGCATTATATTTGTTAAAGAGAGATTTCTTTTTTAAATATGCGGTCAGTTGGTTGTTCAAATCCTTTACACATTAATATTAAGGGTAATATTATATACAGAAAGGTTCTTTTATGAAATATACAGAACCT